TTACGGTAGTAAAAGAAGAAATTGTAGTGTAGTTCCTATACGCAGTACGAAAACCAACTTTGCGAAAAATCAATATGAAAAACGATCAGAACACTTATATAATCAAATTAACAAAATATTGCAAATATATCCTTTAAAGACATACGATTGTAAGAAAAAAATAATTCAGTGGCTTAAGACACTTAATTACGATCAAACTGAAGCCTTATTAGAATCTATCCTATAAATGCATTCACTCACTGTCTTTTTCTCATACGTACACACGTACATACCCACATAAACACACACACACACACACACACACACACACACACACACACACACACACACACACACACACACACACACACACACACACACACACACACACACACACACACACACACACACACACCACACACCACACACACACACACACACACACACACACACACACACACACACACACACACACACACACACACACACACACACACACACACACACACACACACACACACACACACACACACACACACACACACACACACACACTGTTTCTCGTATGTTAATTGTACTTAGTTAAGGGAGGGCGAGGGCCTTCTACCACAAGTATCTTTATACTTAAAAGAAGTCCTCAAACTCGTACTAATTTTTTAGTTAAGAAAAATTGTTGGAAACAATAAACTTTCATTTCACTTTCATTTCATCTAACTACTAACATTTAGAAAATTTATTCTTGAATTACAACCCTTTTCTACATAATCCTCGTTACAAGCAATAAATTATAACCTTTATAGGCGCAGTATATATATATATATATATATATTTAGGGGCGCGTACTTTAAGATTTTGTAGAAGCTTATAGCGATTTTGATTTGGTTTTGTAACTTTTAATGGCTACCAAAATTGTATTCAAAAGAGTAATATTTCGTTCGCTTCGTATTTAAAGGGAGATATTTGTTGTGAATTATTTGTTGTTTTACAATACTTGACCCTGGACACTCGCCCGATCTCTGTCATACTTTTACAGTATCTTTAAATATGTTACCCGAACTCATATTGATTTTTATAAGAATACAATTCTAATTTGTACAAAATTTAATGAATATTGTTCCTGCTTAGTGCTGCTATACGTAAAAGCACTAAGCAATAACAATTGATCATTTAACCAAAAATATACAAAATAGATAAAAAGATTGCACTAAGTGCTTGCTTGTTGATTTAAAGTAGCTGTTGATGAAGGTCTTTTATACACTTTTGGGTGGTTTCATGAATATCACAATCTCGAATGTGAATGTAAAATAATTAGGATAAAATTTTCCATATATTTTAATTGGAAACACCATGAAATAAGGATATCGCAGAACAAACATACAAAAAACATTAAGTTGAATTGTTAATGTCCACTCTTTCTTAAAAATTTCGTGCATTTTTTTTTTAAACTTTAAACATTTCTAACTGAGAACAAAGAAATATGAGCTCACAAAATTAAAATAAATAACCACGCAATTGTATTGCATTACTTTTAAAGTGTTTTATTGTAGTTCGTATCACGGTGTGTCCACAGACATTTTAGTTGTCCCAAGTGTGTTTACAGCGTAGTGGAAAGCAATAAAATGAATTCTATCGAGCCGCGGTAGCTCAGATGGTTAACACTCGCTGTAAATATAACAGAACGCGAGTAACCCGGGTTCGATCCCCGCCGGCATCAATGAAATTGTTAATTGCAATTTTAAATGCTGATTTACCACGTGCTCGGCGGTGAAGGAAAACATCGTGAGGAAACCTGCATGTCTGAGGAATAAGAGAAAAAAAAATTATTTCGAAGACGTGAAGTTCGCCAACACGCATTGGGTCAGCGCGGTGGACACTTCCTTGCACTAAAACCCTCTCAGAAATGAGGGGGAGACCTGTGTCCAGCAGTGGGACGTATATAGGCTGTAACTTTACTTTACTTTACTATTGTGATTTGTGTTGGTTAGATTTAGACACTTTTACGAAGCATATTTTCAAAGGTAACGAAAGCTAATTAGAGATCCGCGTTATTATCATCATCATAGGCCATCAAAAGTCCACTACTGAACATAGGCCTATGAAGCCAACTATTGAGAATATTCGCCTGTAATTTAACATAAAATTTTAAGGGATCGAAGGGTTAATTTAAAGGGATATATATCTCTCATCAACATTATCATCACCATCGCAGCATAGTTGCCTATAATCGTAGGCACTAAAATTTACTTCTGAACAACCCATAGATTGCTCTATAAGGGGAATTATTTTCCATAGATATTCATATATTTCTGTTAGAAAGAAGATACTGCTGCCTATCTACTGTCTCATTTCCCTCTGTCGTTTTATACGACATCTGGGATGGGATGATGTCGGATAGTGGTTTTTCTTACGCCGCCACTATAAGGCGAATATATTTCAGAAATATGACATATTTAATACTATAGTAATGAAATTTATTAAAAAAGGAGTTGCGAAGAAAAAAAACTCTCTCCATAGGTACGGAAGGTTTCTATAACTTTCGATAGATAACAATAAAAAGTCATATGGTTATTTACGGATAGATAAAAATAAAATAATATAATAAGAGAAGGAGTAAACAAGAAGCAAAACCAACAAAATATTGGATTATTGAATTTAAGTAATGGGAAAACTTTGAGCTTTACTCTGTAGTAAATAGTGAAGTTTTATATTTTTTCATTTCTCGGACTCAGCTGAAGATACTTATATATTCGGCATCCATCAATGTGTATGTGTGAAATGTAAAGAAATTTTACACTTGCTCCTTTCAAACACTAAGCTCTGGCGCTCCGATCCGGCTGACCAACCATGGCAAGCCAAAGGTGGAGAATTATTAACTCTGAGTAACTCGGTTATAAACAGTCACTAGCTACCCTGCGTAGCTTTATACTACTATAAAAATATCACAAAATTTATTTTTATTATAATCACATTTAGCCACACATTCTAATTTTTTCTATTGATATACGGTAGGATCTGTTAAAGGTGCTATATAAAATATGTGCGCCATGTTTTGCCAGCCGTCAACTCATTTATTTTTGAGAGTGTCGTGAAAATCTACGTAGAAAAGAACAAGACAAATCTTAAGGCATAAAAATAATATACGACATATCTATATTATGTGTATATCATGAGACATTGAATTCCACTAAATTCGACGTGTGAGGTCCTAAAAGTGAACAATCGTGTGGAAGAATGTCATTAAAGAGCAAGGTATTTTTATAATTTTTGGTACTCTGACGGGAAAAGATTTCCAGTCCGGGGTATTGTACAAAATTTCAAAATAGATTCGTAAGGTTTTTATAGACAAATTAACAAAATGAGTGAGATGTGAGTGAGAAATGATTCCTTAATTAAAAAAAAAAATAATTATTGTTCGGATGATTTATTCGTCACAAACAACACTAATTACGTAGAAATTAAACCAGGAAACAAATCAAAAAACCCAACAATGAGCTTGCAACAACGAAAATAAATTTTACTCAGCAAGGCGCTGTAACGCAGTTATGCTGTATATATATACCAAACAGTATGCGTATCAACATATGATATTATAATTTATAATATATTACTTTAAAATTAATTAGTGCAGAGCAGGAGTATGTTATATCAGGAAAAACCCATCTACCCTTCCCTCCCTGCAAAAAAGTATAGTTTATGAGAACTGTTTTTTTTTTTGTAAAATCATAACCTCACTTTTTTACACAGGAATATTGACGCAATTTTTTTCTACAAGGGCTTCGGCACTGCGGGAAGTGTAGCCCCTTCGCCCTTGCGTAGCGAATCACAGGTACGCCTACCTCTCTCTTCACGCCTACGGCTTTACAAAAACACTCTAGAATTAAGGCAGACAAGACTACGTGGAAACCAGACGCTGCTGCATTGTTCGGAAAATTAAACGTTAAATGATTCCAGGATATGATGCGCCAAGTCCAGATAATAACATCACTGACAATATAGTTAGAAAGTGAAACATCAAAATAGAGCTGTACTTATTAGTAGAGAAGTATAAGAACAATAAATAAGTAAGCTCTGTATTAAAAATAAATATAAACTGATTTTTGTGGGTATTGTTTAGGAAAAAATATTTAGAAAGTTTTAATTAAACCTTTACTGGAACGTAATAATACGCAGCTTGGATTTCGGCAAGATCTTTCAAAAGATTTTGCTAGGTTAACTGAGCGTAAATTAAATTTGAGGAAAGCGTGGGCCTACCTAGATAGCATTTATGTAGAAAACTGTAAAATTTTACAAAGTAGACATAATGATCGCCCGTTTTGTAAAGAATTTATTTTTATTTCTATTTATACTTTCTTTACGAACGAAATCTTTATTTGTTTATGTCAGAATACTATTTTTGTCCGTCAATTTTTCTCCAGTTTCATATCATTACGTTTCCTTCTTATTTAATTCGATTTAAGTAAGATATGTAATTAAATTAATGGTTACTTTGTAAAGTAATTAATTATTATGATGTATTATTGTATATGTCGGATCTTGATGTTCATTAAAAATGTTTAAATGAGCAGAACCATGAACTCCGTCAGACTTTTCGGTTCTGCTGTTAAGTTTGTCCATGACAAATCACTAACATACCACAATAAAATAGCAATTCACTTATTATCTCTAATAAGAATAGTTTATTACACACAAATATACTATAGTTCAAATTCACAGTAATAACTGATTAAGGCTGGGGATACACATGCCCGTAGCTTGCACACTAGCATACCAGCCCCTTGCACGTGCCAGCTACTGTCATGTGTATACGCTAACTGGCATGCCTGTAACTAGCATACAAGTAGCTAGCACAACATTTGATTTACTTGCATGCCCGTTGAGGGAGGGGACGCGGGGGGTTGCCAAACTGGCACGTGTGAACAGACGCGACAGCTACGGGCATGCCAGTAGCTGACTCGTTGTGGTCGTAGGCGCACGTTATTTTTTTTCAATCATTCTTTTGTTGTTTTTTTTTTGTATTCAACATGGCACGATGGGGAGATGAGAGAACTATACAGTTCATTCATTTGTACAGAGACTACGAATGTCTTTGGAAGCCGACTAGCCCGCTTTACAAAAACAAAATAGCACGTGCCAATGCCTACACCAAAATACAAGAAGAATTTAGTCTGACTGAAAAAGAAATTAAAAATAAAATCAAAAGTCTGCGAAGTACTTATCATCAAGAAAAGAATAAAGTGGAAAATTCAAAACGATCCGGAGCTGGATCCAGTGACATTTACAAACCCAGTTTGATTTGGTATATGGAAATGGATTTTATAAATGAAAATTTCGAATATAGAAACTCAATCCAAACCGCTGTTGTAAGTACCTACTCTTTCTCTTTAACACGCTTTTATTAGCTTCATATGTTTGTAACCGACTTTCTTTCGACTCGATTTACTAACAGAATAATATCAGCTTATATTAAAAATTATGTTTTACTTTTTAGTTCGATGTGCTCTGTTTTTTTAGTTTTTATACTATATTTTTTCACATTTATTCATTTAAAATTTATCATACGATCTTGCCAAGGCACTGCTTCTGTTGTAATGAAAAGATCTGCATATTTATTTCTAATAAGTATCGCTTCTCTAGACGGTCGATTATTTAGTGTTCCTGATAAATTCCGTAAAGATCTTTGTAACTGATCATGCCAGAAGCCGTTAATAATAGTACTGAGTTGAATATCTTCATAATCCACACACCTTTGTGTGATATTAGTATTAGTGGTTTTCCGCAACCAATTGTGTAAAGAACATGCCGCTAATACTATGACGTCAACTTTTTCTGGTTTTAGAGCTATAAATGATTCAAAAATTCGGAATCTTGATATAAGGATACCGAACGCATTTTCGACAATTCGCCTGGCCCTTGACAACCGATAATTAAAAACTTTTTCTCTTCGGGTGGCCCTGGTAGAAAACGGTTTCATGAGATATTTTTTAAGGGAAAAGCTGCATCTCCAACTATAACAGAATGTTCAGGAATATCTAAATAATTATTTTCTAATGCTTGTTTCAAGACTGATCTTTCAAACACTCCTCCATCTGAAGCTCTACCATTGCATTCTATATCAATATAAGAAAAACAGTAATCGTCATCCACCAATGCTAGTAGCACTATGCTGTGGCTTCCTTTATAATTAAAATAATTTGATGTTTCGTCAGGAGCAATAATATTTATGTGTTTGCCATCGATAGCTCCAATACAGCCTGGAAAGTTCCATTTGGTTCGAAAGACATTTTCTATCTCTTTCCATTCCTGCCTCGTAGGAATCTGAAAACAAAATGTCTGTTAACACATATAAAGTAACGAATATTACCTGCAACACTTAATTAAAAAAATAAAATTTACAGGTACAACAGTCCTCTCAATCGAACACTGAAACAGAAACATCACGCTCTCAAAGAGGTACTTCATCAAACCAGCAATCCTCCTCTCAAACAGTCAACCCACCAAACAACGAAACATTCTCTGTCGCAGTCGACCAATCACACTCATCCAATCAAGCAAGCATTACAAACGAGCAAGTATCATCACCCTCTCTCCAGGACCAGCAATCCTCCTCTCGTACTGCAGCAGTGAACCGACCACACAAAACTAGTCAGACTAAGAAAAAACGTGTAGAGCAAAACGAAACCTTAACTGCACTTCAACGCCTGGAAAATATTGCTACTGCAATCAATAATCCTGCATCAAATGAAAAAGAAAAAGATGAGTTTTATTATTTCGAACAAAATGTTGCTGCTCAGTAAAGATTATTGCCATTAAATAACGCTCTGGATATGCAATTCAAAATTCAAGTTTTGCTAAGTCCAGAAAGGTCTCGATTGTCCACTTCATATTCTCAGCCTTCCACTCCGTATTCTAACACATTTATATATTCTGAAGAAACAGCAGCATCTTCTGCCGATGATCGATTCATACACATAATACCATACACGCAGTCAAACACTACAGAAGATAACACTATCACTTTTGGTCAAGAATCAGGACAGAATATTTTTAACCAAGCTTGGAATAATGCCTAATTTCTATGCTGAAATAAATAAAAAACATGAAAGATATTCAACATTGTTTTACTCACTTTAATAAAATCCCTTAGTGCAGTAGCTATTTCACTACAAACAATTGAAATGAACTGTGAAATCGTCGATTTTCCTACTCTGTACAATGCTTCTAAAGATACAAATGATTCACCTGTAGCTAAAAATCTTAATGTTATTTCCAATTTCGTTTTTGCTGGGATGGCATTTCGCATGTTAGTATCATTTTTTGTTATTTTGTCCCTAATTTTTCCTAACAATTCATCAAATTTTTCTGGGAGCATTCTCAAATGGATTTTGTAACCATCAGGATCGTCTTGACGCATTTCTTTAAGCAGACAACTACTTGCTCCAAAATCATCCCTTCTACTAATTTAATCTCTTACCCAAGCCCTTCTTCTTCTTTTTCTCTTTTTATCTCTCATTAATTTAGCTAGACATTCAATTGCTAGTAACAACACGATTTTGTTTAATTCACTTCGATTGTTATCCATTTTTGGCACGCAAGAATAGGTACCGAGTGACACTCACGAACTGTCCTGTGTATACGCAATGGTAATACTGGCATGCAAGGGCACAACTTGCATGCCAGTATTACATGCAAATGTATCCGCAGTGTGCCAGTTACTCGTACATGCCAGTAACTTTCATGCCAGCTACTTTCCCGATTTACTGTAATGTATCCCCAGCCTAACAGCAATAATAGCACGGTTTACTTATTTAATATTTTAAATCACTTACAGTACTTGCTTTTTTACTTTACACCTCAAGCGCAGACGAGAGAATGAACGTTCCAATGATTTTTCGGTAAATGTGCACAACGCCACCATTCCCGCGCGGTAACAAAAAGGCGCGGACCAATGGCGTCGCGCGAGCCATCATTTCTTATTCAATTTAACTACTTTTTATCTAAATAGAAGTATAAAGTGTTTATTGTATGAGTTCATGGTAAACCTGTAGTTACTAATAATTAAAACAGAATTTCTAACGATTAGAAAACAATGATTGCTAATTATTAAACAGTTATTAATTAGTTGAAACTCGAATGCAATAATAACAGGGTAGTCAAAACACGATCCTTAAAATATTTATGATTGAGTTATTTAAAACAGTGTAATTACTATTCAATTGTAGTTATTTTACATAGAATAATTAAATTACAAATATCGTAGGTAATATTGCGTTAAATCGTTAATTAAGATTTCATTTGAAGACAGAAGCGCGTGCGGCAACACGGCCATTCTCATATGCGATGCGTTCCCTGCAGCGCTGAATCTTCCTCGTGTAGTTATTTCTGAAATAAATTATAGAAATATTTTTGAAGCTAGGTACTTCAGTAGTAAACCTATGCACAAAGTTTAATTAAAGGTGTTCACTACGCGCGCAACAGCCTGTATGAGATATGTGTAGTAGGTTAATAGTGTTACTGCCTATTTAGTTAGTGTCATTCCACATGACAACACCTATAAAATAAATTTGGTCATTGGTCGGCTCCACACGCCAATAACATCTTTTACATTTTATTATGTAACTGCACATTCCACATTTAACAGTTAAAAATAAATTTGGTCATTGGTCGGCTTCACACGCCAATAACATCTTTTACATTTGATTTTGTAACTGCACATTCCACATGAAACTGTTATAAAATAAATTTGGTTATTGGTCGGCTCTACGCGCCAATAAAATCTTTAAAATTGTATTCGGTTATTGTACGACTCAGCATGTCAATAACAGTTTTTTTTAATAATAATAATAATATGCTACGTTGTAATGTATGTGTGATTGTTAAGTAATAATATAACATGAAAGGTTCTCACCAGGATGGAATCCACAGCTTCGTATGTTTCTTTAATCGATGATTGAGTCGTTCTGTCATCAGCTAGTTTTGACGCAGATTGGGTTGATGATGGTGCGCTCACCAGCGTATTAACAATGCCCTTGATGCTCGTCTGGATCTGTGGGCGACACGGCCGCCTGGGGGTTTACGACTGCACCCGGTTGTGGGGCACGTCGTAACTAGCGACTTTACGGGGTCGACCATGGTGATTAACAACTTTCTCCACGAGGTATCGGTCGTTATCAAGTACTCTGTGAATTTCGTAGGGCACGCTAAACTTGAGGTCCAACGAAGTCTGGTTTCTGGGGTTATTTTTTATTAAAACGAAGTTGAGTAACTCGGGGGGGGGACACAGTTCAATCGTCGGGTGAGAAGTGTAAGGGGAGTAGTACCTGTCGTTATACGAGTATGTACGGTACAGTACAATGTCAGTTGTAAGCTCTCTAGCGCTGTATATGCCTGCCATTCTGGAGTCTCATAATTCTTAATCATAATGAGTGCGTTCTTCAGAGTTGAGATTACCCTTTCTACCTGTCCGTTTGCTCTGCTGACGCCTGGTGCAATTGTGTGTATATCGATACCAAATCTGTCGCAAAAACTATTATATTCACCTAAATATTCACGCCCACCATCCACAATAATTTGCCTCGGTGTTCCAAAAAAGTGTGCTATGTTGGCTTTTGTCATTGCAATAGCGCAGCAATACATACTTTGAGAACGCATCTATGGTTAAAATAACATATTCCTGATCATCAGGCGTACCAAGCTTTCCTGTGGCATCCATATGTATAACTTCAAATGGCATAGTAGGCTTGGAAATTGGATGCATTTGTATTTGCGTTGCTCCAGATGTTTGTATCGATGTACTGCAGACAACGCAGTTATTTACGAAATCTCGAACGATTGTAGTAATATTCTTAAAGTAGTAAGTATCTCTAATTTTATGAAGAGTCTTCTCTCATCCCGGGTGCTTGAGGGCATTGTGATATGTATTTATTAGACTCCACTCAAAGGACTTAGGTACCACAATCAATTTTTGTACACCTAAAATCGGATCTGATCTTTCACGCTTAAGAACGTTACTTTCAAGCAAATACCCTGGAACAATATCACCATTATGTAAAGAGTCTATGACAGGACGGAGCTGGGCATCTACATTAAGCCATTCCAAGTTTCTTGTCATAACATTAACATTCAGCGAGTGCGGATTTCTGCCAAGGAAATCAGCACGTTGCATTCGTACACCTTTTCTGTATTCTATGTCAAATTCAAAATTTTGGATATAGGACCACCACCGGTGTATGCGAAGGAGAAGATCTTGTTTGTGCTTTGAAGCTCTTAGCGCATTGAAGTCCGTGATCACTTTAAATTTACGTCCGTACAGGAAATGTCGGAAGTGTTTAATGGCGCGGACTACTGCCAATGTTTCCAATTCATATGAACATATGAATGGTACCTACTCTCGGCATCTGTGGTACGCATACTAAAGTAGGCTACGGCATGTTGTCGACCGTTAATGATCTGATTGATTAGTATTGCCCCAAAACCGAGGCTACTGGCATCGGTATATAATTCTATAGGCTCGCTTTCTCCAAAAATTTTAAGGACTGGTGCCAAGATACTCAATAGAACATTTGAAGAAAAGACATTTTTCTATGTTGATAGAAAATCCTGAATCACGTAATGCGATTAGAATTCTTTCTAAGAACGAGAGACCGCTAGATTAATCGCGGCATTTACTAATGACATCATCAATATATACTTGTGCGACGCTATCGTTATGACCATTTTCGGAACTACCTGGATTTATAAGCGATCTAACGCACGGTTTATACATCTTTGGGACACTGATGGGTCATTGCAAAGACCGATCGGCATGGTCAGGTATTATCATAAAGTCCGTCAGGTGTTACGAAAGCAGTCTTTTCCACTGAATTAGGGGAAATGGGGATTTGATGAAATCCGGAAGCCATAACAAGAGTTGTAAAATAATGACCACCAGCCAATTGATCGATTTAGTCCGCAATCAATGGAAGAGGATAATGATCATGAAACGAATTGGCATTATGTTCGCGATAGTCGACGCACATTCTATCATCACCGTTTTTTTTGACCAGCATAATAGGGCTAGAATAAGGTGATTTACTTTCTCTGATTATTTTATGTGTGATCAATTCAGAAACTATATCTTTAACCTTCCGGCGCTCAACGGGGCTTAATCTATAGTTACATACTTATCGGGGGTTTTTAAACAAATTTCTAATTCACCAGTGTTAACGCGAGATTAAGCGTAAACTTGAGTAAAGACGAAAGAGTACTTATTTAGAAGAGCAAGTAGTTGATTTATCTCAAAGTCATTGGTTAAATCATGATTTAAATTTCCAAAAAATGGGACTATGAGACGGTATATGCATGACGCGAGGTTGAGATATTAAGGTAGCACTATTTCGAGTAACGATTACACTTAGACCCGTTTCGTGTAGTAAGTTTGCACCAATTAAAACGTCTGAAGTCATTTCAATGTCGGGTATTACGTGAAACAAAATCTCTATATGAATATTATTTATCCCGCATATATATATATATGTTAAAGTGCTGGTAGATATAACAGGGAACGGACCTATTCTACGTAAATAGTTCACGACTTGATTCCTATGCCCTGGCAATTTTTTCGCAATGGATTCACGCATAATGGAACACCCGGCGCCGCTATCAAAACGGTATTTATGAGCAAATTACCTACTCGAACACGCATAGTGTTTAAGATAGAATTACGAGTACTATCACTCACTGAATTTATATTAGAAGTAATTTGTTTTTCGCCGCGAAAACACGACTCGAATGTGTGGCCGGGCTTTGAACAAAATGA